CCGCACCTCCCGCCGCGCCGCCGCCGGTGCCGGGGCTGTCGGGGCTCACTTTCCCCTGGATGGAGACGACGCGGCGCATCGCCAAGGATCGGCTCTCAGGTGAGCGCTCCGCTCCGACGGCTCTCGGCGGCACCGACGGCGCGCGGCGCGGAGCGGCGGCTGAACGGGAGCGGGAGCGGAGCGGGGGCAGCGGCTCGGAGCGGGGAACCGTCCGCGCCGGGGAGCTGTGCCGGAACCGGCCGCGCTCCGCCTGTGCCGTGCGTGCGGCTGCTTCCACGGTGCGCCGGAGGCCGCCGAACGCTGCCGTGCCGGAGCCGGGCTCCCTCCGAACCGCCCCGCTCGCCACAGCACCGCTCACCGGGACGCGGCCGCCGTCGGGGACTGCGCGCTGCGGCTCCGGGTGGGCGCTGCCCCCGGCGGTCCCGGGTCCCGGTTCCCGTTGGAGCCGGAGCTTCGCCGCAGCCGCTCCCTGCGAAGTGCCCGGAGGTCCCGCCGTGCTTCGGCCGCGGGCTCCGCAGCACCGACCTGTTACAACCGCGGGGCTGCGGCCCCGGGCCGGCGGGAGGAGGGATGCCGTGCGCGGGAATGGGGAGCGAGGACCCTGTGTGCGGCGCACAGTGATACCCAGCTGTGTGTGGGAGCGGGGCGGTGTGGGGAGAAAACACACGGTGTCTGCGGGGCTGGAATCCTGACAGCAGGGCTGTGAGCCCACGTTGTGCAGTGTGTGTGGAACTGGGGCCTGTGCTGCGGGGTGTCTGCATGACTGGGGATGCGGCGGGGACGGTTGTGGGGCTGGGGACATGACAGGGAGGTGCTGGCGTGGCTGTGAGCCCGTGCTGTGGTCGTTGTGCTGGGTTGTGGGATGTGTTGGGAGGAGGACGGGGCTGTGTGGGGTGTGCAGATCCGTGTGTGTGTGTGTGTGTGTATGGGGATGGATGCAGGGCTGCTGGATGCTGGGTTTGGGGCGAAGCCAGGGCTGGGTTGTGAGGGAGCACTGGGGAGAGCGGTGGGGTGCAGCCGATGGAGCCGTGTGTGGGGTGCGTGGCTGGAGCAGCTCAGGGTGGTTGGTGGGGGTTCTGATCCCCCTTGTGGAGGGTGTGGGGTGCCGGTGCCCAGTGCTGGGTGCCGGTGGGGTGAGCGAGGGGCTGTGAGCGAGGCTGAGTGCGGCTCCTTCCCAAGATGGCGGCTCTGCCACGTCCGCAGCACGGCCCTGTGCGGGGACGAGGGTGGTGGACGAGGCTGCGGGGGCTGTGGGGGCTCTGGAGGCTGCAAGGGCTGGGCCCTGTGGGTTGGGAGGTCTGGGGGTATGGGAGCCCATCCCGGCACCATCAGAGCCGGGTTCGCCTCCCGGCCCACCCGTGGGTGATGGAGCGCCGTCCCCGCGCATGGCCGTTGGTGACGTCCCCGTCTCCTGCCTGGCGCCAGCGGTGGGGGGACACGACGGCCCCTCCCCGGCACGGGGTCTCCCAGCCGTAGCCATCACTCAGCGTTGGAGCCTTGGGGTGATGTTGGGGCTGTCGGCATCTGTTTGCAGTGAGGGGCCGCCCCGCGTGGGGAGGGGGCACGGGGGCGTCCGTCCATCCCCCCGACTGTGCAGCTCCACCTGCGCCGAGCGCTTCCGCCCCCGCCGCGGGCAGACGCCTTCCCACCACACTGCTGGGGTGTGGGGCACGGATGATCCGTCCCTGGGGCCTGCTGTAGGGTCTGCCTCATGCCCCACAGCTGCGGGGTGCTGGAGCCCCATGGCAGCCCCGTGGCGGCACGTTGGCGCAGCGCTGCCCATGCGGTGCAGTGTTGGCGATGGCCGTGGTGTCGCCTGCTCTGCAAACACACGGCCCAGCTCCGTCCTCCTCCCGGCCCTTTGCTGCCCTGATGCTCCCGTGGCCTCGTCCCCGTGTCCCTATGGGAGGTGGCAGCCCTCTCCCTGCCCCCAGCAGCTGCAGGGCGGTCAACCCAGAGGCTGCTGCGTGCGAAGGGAAGGAGACATCAGCTGCCTCCGATGGCCTCCGGGTCCCATTCCCTCCGCAGGGAGTGCTGGGAGGCGGCGGGGCTTCGGCGCAGCGCGGTGCTGGGAACAGGGCTGGGTTTGTGCTGCCTGGAGCCCTCCATGACCCTGGCGGTGGGACCACTGTGCTTCTTGGTGAGGCCAGGGGTCCTGGCTGCTGGGTCCCCCTGGGGCTCAGGCGCACTCAGAGCCACGGCAGGAGGTGCCATGAGCCCCCTGACCACGTTTAGCGGCACCGCGTCCTCTTAGGATCAGGATGGGCAGAATCCCTCCTCGCCCCCTCCCCACAGCTCCCACAGAGCTCCATTCTGCTTGGCCCACATCCCCCTCTGCGCTCAGTGCTGCCCGAGGGCCGTGCCGTCCCGGCAGCTCCCTGCAGGATGCTCTTGGCCCCATTCCCCGCCGGTGGCTGAAGCGAGGGACGGGGCTGTGCCATGCCGTGCTCCCAACACGCCGCTCGCCCCCTTCTGCCCACAGCCGCGCTTTCGCCCTTCGCGGCAACCCGGCGCATCGGGCACCCCTACCAGAACCGCACGCCGCCCAAGCGGAAGAAGCCGCGCACCTCCTTCAGCCGCGTGCAGATCTGCGAGCTGGAGAAGCGCTTCCACCGCCAGAAATACCTGGCATCGGCCGAGAGAGCCACGCTGGCCAAAGCCCTCAAGATGACGGACGCGCAGGTCAAAACCTGGTTCCAGAACCGCCGCACCAAGTGGAGGTAATGGAGGGAGGGGGGAAGGGGGTTCACCTGCGGCTCCTCCCGGTGCTGCTCGGCTGCTTTGCCCGCATCCCGGGGGGGGGGGGGAGGTGCCGTCCCCGTGTGTCCCGCAGCCCAACCCTCACCCCGCGCCCGGGGCCGTGTGTGCAGGAGGCAGACGGCGGAGGAGCGCGAGGCGGAGCGGCAGCAGGCCAACCGGCTGATGCTGCACCTGCAGCAGGAGGCTTTCCAGAAGAGCCTGAGCCAGCCGCTGCCGCAGGACCCGCTCTGCATGCACAACTCCTCGCTGTACGCCCTGCAGAACCTGCAGCCCTGGGCCGAGGACAATAAGGTGACGTCCGTCTCGGGGGTGGCCTCCGTGGTCTGAGGGCGCTGCGTGGCGGATGGGAGCCCCTGTGCCCCCGGGGGCCCCGAACTGATGGGAGCTTTGGCCTGGAGGGATGCGAGGCCACCCCGATGCCCAGCGAAGGGGAGGGGAGGGGGCTGCTGCTTCCCGGTGCCACCCTGAGCGGCAGCCCCCTCCCCACACCACATCCGGGCCCCCTCACTGCCCTGGTGGAGCAGCAGCCCTGGGCAGGTGGACTCTGAGCGGGTGGACCCCCCCACCCCCCCAGCTTTCATCCCATGTGCCTCTGCCAGCCCGGAGCCTTTGGGGGGGCCGCCCACCCTGTGCAGCTCCTCGGGGCCCAAACCCCTTCAGCAGCTCCGTGTGCTGGGATAGCCCCTAAGCGCCCATCCTGCCCAGGGAGGGCAGAGCCGGGGGGTGGCATCCTCTGGACTCACACATTCCCGGTGCTGGAAACTCACTGCTGCCCCCGTTCGTTGTGGGGCAGCGTCCCTCACAAGCATCCTGGTATCCGGACGAGTCAGAGTCCATCAGCTTTGGCTTCCAGCTGGGGGGTCCCATCGCTGGCCCAGCGTTTCCCGCACACCGGACAGATGGAATTTGTCGGCCACACGGGGGGCTCCCGGTGCTCCCAGCCCCCATCTGCAGCTCTGGGCCTGGACGATGGGCACAGGGTCCCCCCACGTGGTGGTGGGCAGCAGCAGCCCCCCCAGAAGCTGCTCCCGGGGCCACCTCTGCTTCCTCCCCTCTCTGTGTCTCAATGTGGGGCTGAACTTTTGGTCTGGCACGATGCAGACAATGGGGGCAGTGGCTCTTCTGGGTCACCCAGTGAACTTCCACCCCCCCGTGTGTCCCAGCAGCGGGGTGCAGCCAGGCCGGGACTCAGACAATGCAGGGCTGGGCCACAGGACCCTCACAGCCAGCTCCAGCCGGGGTCCTGCTGCTAACGGGGCTGAGGCCCCGACCCCAACCCTAATAGTGACCCCGATTTTGACCTTGACCTCCCCGCTGACCCCAACCCGGCCCCGGTTCGTGGTGCTGCCAGGACGCGATGCAGTGGACAGGAAACGGCCCGGGAACGGAGGTCGCACACCGGCATTCACGGGGACCGCGGGGACGGCAGCCCGAACCGGGACCCCTCGGGGCGCACAGGGAGCCTGCGGTGCCGGCGGGACGCTGCCCGCCCCCGTCGGTTCTCGCAGCGCATTGGGTTACGCACCGGGGGGGCGGGCAGCGTCCCGCCGCTCCCGCAACGCTCCCGGGAGGAGGCGGGGCCGCCGGTGCCGGTTTCTCGACCGCGCGATTGGCTGCGACTCGGTGACGCGGCCCGTCGGACCGGGAGGGGGGGAAGCCGCCGCCGCCGCGCCGCCGCAGAGCCGCCGGGATGAGCGCGGGCGGCCCCGGCGGTGGGGAGGACGGCCCGGAAGGCTGCGCGCTGGGCTGGTCCGGGCCCCGCTGCTCTCCCCGCTCCCGGGGCGGCGAGGCCGTGCTCCGCGCCCGCGCAGAGGCTGCGGGGTACCGGCGGCTGCTCCGCGCCCGCGCGGCGGAGGTGGAGGCGCTGCGCGGGGCCGTGGGAGCGCTGCATCGGCAGCTGGAGGGGCTCCGCGACCGGCGCAGCGGGGAGCTCGCCAAGTATCAGGTAACGCGGGAGGGGATGGGGCTGGAACGGCGGGTCCCGGCGGTGTGGGGTCTCAGAGGAAGGGGAGTGGACGCTTGGGTTGGGGGCAGATGAGTGCGAGGATTGGGGGCGCCTCGTTACGGGGGGCGCGGAGTCTGGATGTGGGGAACGCTGCCGCGGGGTGCGGCCGCAGCTGGGGGACAACGGCGGCCGGGGGGCGGCTGGACTGGGGGTGTCGGGGTCCGGATCGGGGTGCCGGGTTGGCGCTGACGGCCCGACCGCAGGAGCGGGTGGCGGAGCTGGAGCGGCAGATCGGCGAAGCGGAGCAGGAGATGGCGCGGTGCCTCCGGGAGTACCCCGCGCTGCTGCGGCTGCGGATGGCGCTGGACGCGGAGATCGCCGCGTATCGGTACGGGGAGGGGGCGCGGGTGGGGGCGGGGGGAACGCGGCGGTCGCGGGGCTCAGAGGAACCCCTTTCTTGCAGGGAGATGCTGGAAGGGGAGGAGCTGCGCCTGGGTGCCGTGGTACCGCCGTGACGGGGCGCCCACCCCTTCGCTGCGGACCGGGGACCGCCGGAACCCCCCGGGCTCCCGGCACCGGGCTGCTGTGCTGCGGGGCCCTCCGTGCCCCCCGGCCCCCTGGAGCGCCCTCCATTCCCGAGCCGCGGGACCCCCGGACTCCTGGAACCCGGTCCTTCCGGACCCCTTTGCCACGGGAGCCCTGGGCTCCGCCGACGTCCCCGGGAGGCCCCCACTCCCCGGCGGGGCAGCGCCCCGGGCCGCACATCAGTCTCACCAGCCTCTCCAGAGCGGCAGCAGGGCTGCAGTCCCGGCCCTGGTCCACGCGGGTGCGCCTCAATAAACGCCCCGTGGCATTACCCAGCGCCCAGTGCACCGTGTGATGGGGCCGCGACCCCCGGCAGCTCCGTGTGCGTGGGGCTGCGGCTGAGGCCGTGCCCGGCGCTGCTCCACGGCTGCGTGGTCTGTGGGCCATTTCCTGCCAACGAGGCCTGGCTGCGGGGTCTGTGCTCGTTCCCACCCGCCGCAGCCCCCAGCTGGAGCTGCCGGCTGGATGTCCTGCAGGATGCTGGGGGAGTGGCAAAGCGGGGCTGGGAGCTCCAGGGCACAGAGCCCCGCTCTGCCCCACGCGCCCCGACTGAGGTTTTTCACAGAAAAGCCAAGCTCAGCTCTTTTACAGAGGTTAAGAGAAAGCGCTTCAATATAACAGAAGTGGATGGGAATGTCGGCACTGGGCGGCTTTGGGTGCCTCACCCCGGGGTGCTGCCCCTCAGCCCCCTCAACCCCGCGCGCCCCTCAGCCCCACTGCAGCCAGGCTGCGTCCACCTCCTGCCATCCGCTCCAGGGGCTCCAGGAGCTGTTGGTGTAGCTGTAGGGGTCCTGGCAGCTGATGCGCACCCGCCGCACGTGCTCCTGCAGGCTCGTCTTCTCCGTGCCCTCCACGAAAGCATCAACCTGCAAAGGGGGGTTTGGTCACGGCTTGGGGACGGGCGCCGCGACCACCTGGAGGCGCAGCGCTTGAAGCTGGGGGCACAGCAGTGGGGAGCCGCAGTTCTTCCCCATCCCAGGCAATGATGCTGCCTCACTTGAGCAGTGCTGGGGGGAAGCAGAGGTGACAGCTGGGAGTGACAATTTCCCAACCCCCCTCCTCCCCACCCCTGTGGGTCACCAAGCACTGCTCCTAACGATGCTGCTGCGCTGAGGGAGAGGCGGGGGGAGGTTTTGGTCGTGTGGGCAGAGGGAAGCTGAGCGCACAGTGGTGCGGGTGGGGGGCAAGGGGGGTGCAGGCACAGCCTGCCCCGTTACCTTGGTGCCGTTGGGGAGCTCGTACTGCAGCCAGTAGAGGAGGGCGAAGTAGGACTTGGGGAGCGGCCAGGAGGCCGGGGGGGCCCAGGCCAGGTGGAGCCGCCCCTCCTGAAGGTGCGCGGTCAGCGCCTGCGGGGGGTCGGGCCGCACTGCGGGCAGCAGAGCACAGCGGGGCTCAGCGTGGGGCTGCGGCCCGCCGGGCTTCCCGGCACCCTGACCCCCACCCCGGGGCCGTCCGTGAGCTGAGCTCACCAATATCACGGACAAAGAAATGGATGGAGAAGTTGAGGAAGGAGGTGTCCGAGATCCCCTCGAAGCGCAGCTGCAGCGGGCGCAGCTCCTCTGCGAAGGGGCAGAAGGAGGGGTCCGTGAAGTTGGCATTGAACTGCCCGCCGTGCCCCGCTGCTGGCACCCAGTCCCCGACGGAGCCGTCGCTGTGCAGGAAGGCAGTGTGAGCGTGGGGAGCCCGCGGGGCCGGGCTGGGGGCTGCGATACCCACCTGTGTGTGAGGCGGGCGCGGAAGATGGCAGAGCGGGGCCCCGTCCAGGAGCAGTGGAAGGAGCCGCGGTAGGAGTCGGCCTGGCAGGAGGCGTCCCTGCCCTCCTCTCCTGACAGGACCGGGGACAAAGGGTTGAGGTCTGGGGGCTGAGCTGCGTGCCCCTTCCCCAAACCGTCCCGCACAGCCCTGCCTGCGTGTGTCCTCTGTCCTGCAGGCAGCAGCACGGTCTTCCCCATCCCCGTACCGCGTGTCAGGCGGGTCCCCTGCCTGCCCCCACACTCGTTCCATCCATCCCCACCCTTCCCCATCACTCCACGTCTGTCTCCACCCCATCCCATCACCCCACATCTGCCCATCCTGCCCAACGTCGCACATCCCTCCCCACTGCTCTCTCCTGTCGCCGTGCCCCCATCATCCCACGTCCCCCCCTCCCCAGGTACCGCTGTCCCCGACCACCACGTAGGTGCTGTCCAGCAGGACGCCGCCAGCCCAGCAGCTGTAGTTGCCGGTGGCCGGCAGGTCCAAGCCGATGATGGTGAGGGTCTGTCCCTCGGCCACGAGCTCAGCCATGGGCTCCGGCTCCCCGTTCTGCGTCCAGGTCACCCGCGGCTTCGAGTTGTTGCATTTCACCACCACGTCCTTGTTCAGGTTCCCCACCAGAACTGGAGGTGAAGTGCAGAGGCTGCGGTCGCTCTGTCACCTGCGCAGTGGTGGGTCTGGGTGCCCCCCGCCCCAGGTACGATCCACCCGCGGCCCCCAGCCTGCTCCGTCACCCCCTATCCGCTCCCCATCCCTCCCTGCTCCAAGTGTCCCTCTCTGAAGCCCCCCCGGCCCTTCTCGCACTCACACTTCGGGGGGAAGGCAGTCAGGGCGTCCGTAAGGGCGATGCACAGCGCCAGGAGCACCGGGACCGACATCTGTAGGGAGAGGGGCAGCGCGAGGGAACGCGGCGTTGGATCCCGGGAGGAGCGGAGCCGGGGCGCAGCCGTTCCGGGGCGCAGCGGGGGTGGGCAGAGCGAGAGGAGCCGGGGGCAGCGGCTGGGAAAGCACCGCTCGGTGGGCGGTGGGCGCAGCTCCCAGCCCTTCCCGGCACGGCTCCGGGCAGGGAGTGCCGAGTGGGGCAGCGCCTTTCCGGCTCCCCGTCGCCCCCCCGAGACGCCCCTGCCTACCTCTGCGTGCGCTGCTCCCGCTGGTTCTGAGGGCCGGGAGCTGCCGCGTTTATAGCGAGCCGCGACCCCGCGGGGCTGCCCCAAGGTGAAGGCAAACCGCAGCAGCATCACAGTTCTCAGAAGAGGAGAAAGCGGCGCAGGGCGGAGCTGAGGACCGGCACCCGCCATCGGCTCCAGCCCTGCCGGCCTCGGTGCGAGCCCTGCTTGGAGCGGGGACGCCGTGAGCGCCACGCTGTGCCCTGGGCCGAGCGGCAGCGCGAGGCCGCCCGAGGCGGTGCTGGAGCTCCTCCGGTCCCGGCTCCCACGGGGTGCCATCCAACACTGGGATCCATAGGGGAGGATTAGGTCCAGGGGAGCGGGGAAGGGACGGCAGAGCCTGCGGCAGCGCCCAGCTCGGGGGTGTGCACCCAGGCAACGGCCTGACGATGGCCCCAGCCAACAGGGAAGGGGCAGGGGCACCCCTGGGTGGGAGCATCCCCCACCCTGCCCTGCTCCCCCCCACAAGTGACGGGGAGCCCTGTAGCCCAGGGTGAATTGTCCCCATTCTGACAGCACAGGATGGAGGATGGGTTGGAGCTGCCATCCCCAGACTGGAGCAGGGACGGCTTTCACCACATAAACTGGCTCCAGCACTGAAAGGGAGGCAGATGTGGGGCAGGAACAGGGGTGGATGGAGATGAGGGGCAGCAGGTGGTGGGGATGGGGATGAGGGGCAGCAGCCCCGGGCAGGGGGTCTCTGCAAGTCCCCATCCTCCATCCTAGGGGCAGAGCAGTGCCAGACTGGGGACAGGGGCAGGGGGCATAGGCTGTCCTCATCACTCCTGGTCACGTACTTTCTGGGGTTCCTAGAAAGTAAGAGGGAAGTCCAGGCACTGATGTGGCTGTGGGGAGGCTCAGTCACCACCCTTCTGCTCAGCCTTCGAGGTGCTGTGATGGAAGATGAAATCCCTTGGCCCCTTCCTGGGAACAGCAGAGCCCCACGCGTGGGCTAGAGGCAGGCAGGGGGGCAGACCTGCCCACTGCTGGGCACTCAGCCTTTGCTTGCCAGCCCTTTCGCTCTGTCCTGTGAAGTGATGCAGGATTGGGACCAGCTGGGGGGCTGGAGAACCCTCAGGGGCAGGAAGGGGGACCTTGAGGACAGGGAAGGAGTGCAGCAGCTCCCCCCAGAGCATCGCCCCATCCTTCCCGAGGGGGAGCAGGGAGCTGGAATAGGGAGCCGGCTGCCCGCCTCCCCCACCCACCGCAGCTTCCCCTTCACTTCTGTAGAAGAAGAACTGCGGAGGGGGAACATCTGATGCAAATGCCAGGGCTGCCCCTCACCGTGACCGGGACGGCAGCACGGTACCCAGAATTGGAGGCATGAGGTGAGCAAGGGCACCATGCATCACGCTTCCAAGCACAGGGCAGGATGAGTGCTGGGCTCACAGAACGGCCCTCGGGGGCTCACAGCAGTCGTGGTGGGATCCATGGTGGGCAGCCATCCTGGTGGGACGGCAGGGTGCTGGGGAGGGGGAACGAAGCCCACCCTGCCCCAAGCCCTTTGCAGGCAAACGCTACACGAAGCCAGGAGTAAAGGTCACAAAACTTTATACAGGAAAAATTCACAAGCGGCTCCATCGCTCCTGAGGAGCCGCCCCTGCATTTGGGGAGCGAGGCAGGCAGGGTCTGCCATCTCAGCCCTGCAGCCCACGGCCCCATCCAGCCTGGCCTTGACCCCCCCCAGGGTCGGGACACCCACAACGCTCCGGGCCGCCAATTCCAGCACCTCGCCCCCCTCTCAGGGAGAAGCGCGCAGCTTCGTCCCCGGGGAAATCAGCAGGGGCCGCTCCCGCAGGCGATGGCAGGGCAGCCCCCGGGCAGGGCTCGGCCCTCGGAGCAGCGCAGCGTCTCCCGGTCACCCCGCCGTCCCGGCCCAACCCGGGCAGCCCCGCGGCGGGGGGCTCCGGCGCCTCCCGTTCATTGCAGAGCGCAGACGTCCCGGTTCTCATCCTCCCCCCCGGCCGCCTCCTCCAGCGGCTCGGCCGCCTCAGGGACGTCCTCTGCCGCCACCACCTTCTCCCGCAGCTCCGTGAGCAGATCCCGGCTCTCGCTGGGCGGCAGGTTGCTCAGGTAGTACTGGGGCGCCAGCTCCACCAGCCTGCGGGTACAAGGGACGGGGGATCAGGGAGGGGGGCCGGCCCCCGGGGTGGGAGCCGGGGGCCAGACGCCACAGGGGCAACGCCGGGAGCAGCCTCCACAGATGGGAACCCCACAGATGGAAACCCCACAGATAGGAACCCCTCGTGAACGGGAACGGCCCCCCACCCCCCCCCCCCCCCCCCCCAGGCCAGGCGTCGTCCCGGGGCTCTGCCGCAGTGCTGGAGCTGCACGCGGGCGCAGCCCCCAAATCCTC